CGGTGACGTTTCTCGCGTTTCTTGTTTCGTTAACGAGCCACTGTAATTGCCAGCTGAACCTAGTATAGTATGTATAGTATGTACGGAAAGTATTATAGAACAGTGTCTGCGAAACGATCCAGAATTTTATCGATTATTGTTCAATCTCAATTGGATACGTTTCATTGCCACGCTTATGAGTGGACTGCGAGTTTTCCTGCAATTGTTGGAAATTCGAGGAGAAATACATAAAAGCAATACATAAAATATCGAAAGTAGAGTACTTGCTATAACATGCATTCAGAAAAGAGTTTCAACTAAGGTCGTTCATTGAAGTCTGAAAGGAGAATGAAAGATCTAAATATCCATCTAAAGATCCACAGTCTATTTATAAGGATCAGTTTTCCAATGATATTTGTCTAGGCAAGCGTTAAATCTGTCCTGTTTATTGAAATTTGTATATTTTATTCTCCAAATTGACGCGGAACTGGTTACTGATACTTTAATGAAATCAATGAGCCGCGGGGAGTTAATAGAGGCTAGTAAATATTTTAATCGGGACAAATAATTAATTGTTTGATGAATTACGCATGATAAATTGCACAGATCGTTAATTTTACTGTTACCGCTATTCAACCCGCTACGTAATCGTATATACATATATATATATAATTATTTTATATTTTATATATATATATATATTAAAATGTATATAATTATATTAATAAATAAAATATATATAATTATTACTATATATATATATATATATATATAGACGTTTCTAATTTTCACGTAACCTTACTTTAAAATAAAGTACCCCGTCCCTTTATTCCACGCCACGATCACTTTCGGTAACTTATATTATGCCGACGAACTTTTCTAATATCTTGAGTGGGAAGATTGTGAGCCCCTGAAGAAAATTATGCTGTCACTTGGACGAAAGTTGCCGCTTTTATTCGAAGAGTATCCCGATATTGTCGATATTTAAAGTTCGAGCCCGATTCTTACCGACACGAACCGGTTCAATGATCAATGGCGAGTTGAAAGATGGAAATAAATTTATTAAACATCGCGCGGGCGCCAATCAACGCCGCTGGAGATGGCTTCATATGGGCAATACAACCGCCACGTCGAGGTTATAAAAGTAAATACGTGCAACGCGTTAATACGTAAACGATCGGCAGCGATGCAGAATTTTCGAGCGCGGCTCGCGAAACAGCCAATAGAAAACGCATTCGATGCACAGCCGTGCCTCTGGTCGCAGGGAATTAATAATACAACAGCCACGCGAGTATGGTCTTTTAAACGAGAGTTGCTGGCCGGACAGCTAGCTAATTATCAATTAACGCCGCGTAAACCTCTTTTCCTCGTCGCGTGCGTCGCGCGTAAAATTTTTCGGCTTCGTCGATGTGAAAAGGATACGTGTATGGATGAAATAGTGAATAAAATCCGACAAGGGCGGATAAAATTCTCGAATGCTTGAATTTGCATGCGACGTCCTCGATAACGGGGATATCGGGTGTACGAAGAGGAAATCCACGTCGAGCTGAAGCTGTATGTAATCGATTATGATAGATACGTACGGAAATTGTCCTTTTCAATATTTATCCGCCCAACTGTGATTCATTGGTAATAACCGTGGAATTGGATTATCCTGGTCGTTGTCACTGCTCCTTTACAGGGTATTACCTGGCTATTGATTACAGACGTGTAATGAACCACTCGTACCAATTATGTTGACTTGTGTGCGCAGAGAGAGAGAGAGAGAGAGAGAGAGAGGGAGAGAGATACGGAGAGACAGAGAGGAAAGAATCGATCCCTCGCCTTGGACAAATGTTTGTAAGCGGAGGAAATGGGCTCGTTTTGTCACGTGGGGACCATCGTGTTAAGGTAGACAGGACAAATGATAATTGCTCTCGATAACCACCTGTGTATATTCAAGGAATATTCCGAGGATGTACAGCGCCATGTCATTAACGTTAACGCTTTGACGCGATAAAGCGTCTCGGAAGTAGATATTAAATCCGACTTGTACCGTGCTGTTGTTCAAAAATTTGGACGCACGTAAAGACTCGAAATAATTTCTAATTTTAAGCGTGATACTGTTTCTCCATGATACGGAGAAACTGCAATGATGCAAACTGCATCTAGAAATGAAAGTTTCTCAAAAGTAAGGTACTCGAAACTATTTTAAGGAATGATTGTGAAGATATTTAGCCAACAAAATGTCAACTATGATTATTTTTCACCTAAAAGAACCTCTGAATTTAATTCCTTTGACGTCGAGCCGAAATGAAATCTAATGAAAAGATTCGTCCCGAGTGGGAAAGGTTTCTGAATCGAATGGTGAAAATTACGGCCGGTAGATCGAAAGTGGAATCATGAATGACAGCGCGCTTGCACGCTGCACGCCGTCGATCGAAGTTCCTCTGCCAAGGATTTCAGGAAAGGGAAACAGCAAGATCGAGAGGGAGAGCGGGAGGGGAGGGAGGACGAAGGTTCAGACTATTTCAGGAAGCCGTAGTGATTACGCTTCGGTCGCCAATGAGAGCTTATCTCGCCGCCTTGTAAAGAAGCGTCTATATATACGTGACCATTACTGGCCATGCTCTCTCGAAGCGAGCATCCTCCCTCCCTCACACCCTCTCGCGAACCCTCTCAGCCCGCCACAGCGACTAAACGTCGTCAAGCTCGGTAAGTTATTACGTCGTGAAAATAAGGAGAAAATTGGAAAGCGGTTTAGCCATGAAAGTGGTGTCAATTACCGTCTCGATACCTGACCTCCAAAGTGGCGGGCAAGACGTTCGAGCAACTCAAGACTGGGCTCTCTCTGGCCTGCCAAAACGGTACGTCTTTCAATTTACGAACCAGGTTACCATGTGACGAGAGGACCGCAACGCGGTTCGTGTAATTAATGATCGCGTCGACGCGGGGAGAGAGAAAGAATGTCAACGTGAGCGACAGCGCGTTTCGTTGGGGCTTCCACGGCGTCCCTTTCAACGTCACAAGGAGGAGGGAAATAATCATTTTTTAACCGCGCATGATAAATCGTCGAGGAAGGTTTATCAAACCTTCAGAGACGCGGCGTGTCGCGGAATTGACGTACCGAGGTTATAAATAACAATGGAAAGGCAACTCGAGGCGCAAGAGGTGGCCTGTCTGACTCTCGCCGTCCTTTTCCACTTGCCCGGGGACCGCAGTTCGTTACGTGTCGAACGCGTCTCATCCGTTGCGCCTCGTTCCCTGTAACTTCTAAATTTACTGGGGAAAGGTTGCCTTATTTTTAGACCGCAGCATCGGTGTCCGTGAATCTAATAATACGCCCTTGAAGCGGTAGGTGTCCCTTCAATCCGTCCAGACTGCCGCCGTTTATTCGATTCCGTTTTATTTATATCGCGATGCCGCCTCGTCCCGTCTGTTTCGCGGAATGCTAATTAAAAACGAGCAGCGACCGCGAACTGGCCGTCCAGCGAGCCGATAGAGAGAGAGAAAAAAAAAAGAAAAACATCCGTCCCACAGCTGACACAGCGTCGAGTCGGACCGTCGATCATCGAGCGAGACATCCGAGATAAAAAGAACCGCCCATTGGCTCTCTCCGTTGCGCCGCAGGCCTGCGACGATAATGACGCTGCCAGGAACTGCGGGAATCATCGATTCCCTGTTCCTCTCTCATTCAGCTTCGTCGTCGGACTTTTATCGTCGGGCGAAAAGCGTGAAACTATAATAGAGCCATTTCCAGCGATGATCGAGACTCGATTTCTATGGGTAATTCTGGCAGCCGGTGAATAAAAAGGGAATGGGGACGAAAACGCGGCGAACAGTGAAAAAGGGCAGGTAACGACGCGATGCCAAAATGTCCGCGTGTAATATCGGCACCTGTTGTCCTACGAAATAACGATTCAGCCTTCTTTCCTGTGAATGTCCGACAACTGCGGTTTGGACTCGATTGATCTGTCAATCTTGTTCACCGAGCGACCCGAGAACCTCCTTTTTATTTACTGAACGATCGGTTCGATTCTCATCTCGAGATTGCTCGTTCGAGGGATTGGAAAAAGGAAATGTATCGTAAATGATCGTTTCGCGGGAGCTTGAACTTTTGACCGGTAGCTCGATGAAAAACCTTTTCTCTCTGAGAAAGTTTTTTGGAAAACTGAATCGTCGACCCGTACTTGCGTTGGTTTTCCATTACGTTAGCGCGCGACTCGAAAAAGCCGGAAACGAAGAAGAGAACAACGGAAAAATGCGTTCGATGGAACGCAGGTAACAGTAGGAAAAAGCTGGAAAAATCTCCTATTTTTCGTCAGGACAGAGGTGTGGGGGGGGGGGGGGGGAAGAGCGAGCGCTATTTCTGCATTCAAATATACACTTGCGGCCTAAACTTTAATCACGCCACGCGAACTGGGTTAATCACTGGCAATTCGAGTCGATTTTTAGATTCGGTTAACCACACACCCGACATTTCCCTGCCCCCTTTCCCTCAATCTCGAAACGCCTTCCCGCAACGACGCCTCTCCCCTTTTTCAACAATTCAACGAATCTCGTTCGAAACTGAAATTACCAGCGCGGCGCGTTCACCAAAGGCGAAGATTGAAATTTACCGGCTCGATGCGAGAACTATGTACGAACTTCGTAATCCGCGGAATTGATACGAATGAAAATGTACCGCGGCCAATAACTCCGCGGCGGGGATAACAGTGTCGTACCAGTTCCCGCCGTTTTCATTATTTATCCGTCGAATTTACAAGCGAGCGGAAACTTTCGGATGCCGGCGCGGTTGTCCATTTAAACTTTATGATAAACAGAAGCCCGATTTCACTTTGTCGTGAAGGATGAAGGCTCCTCGACCGCTTCCCCGCCCCTTTTAAAAACTGAAAGGTTTTATTCGAATCTTTTATCCTTTCGTGGTTTTCAACCCCTGTTGAACGTCCTCTATTCCGTTGGTCGTGGACCGGACGCTGCCTCTTTACGGCTATTTGTTTAGTAAAATGCGTTTGTAAAATTCTTGTTGAACATTGGCTAACCTGTGGGTGTGCATGGTGTTCTTGCCGCCTCTACGAGGTCCTCGCGACTCCCGGGCGGTGCTTCCAGCATCGTGCCGCTGCCGGAGAGTTTCTTTACACATAGCAGGCTCAACGCTGCAAACATAATGAGAAGCTTGTCAGAAAAAGAAAAAAGACAGACAATTTCAAATGTGGATTACATTGCTGAGATATTCGGTACCAATTATTCGCGACTTTACTCCAAGTTCAATTTAGATTCATCGATAATTTGATAGACGCTCTCACGCTAATTGATATTTTTCATCGAGTATTTTCAAATCTTGGGAATCGTTCGTCAAATATTCCTCTGCATCGATTCCTCTGGGAACGCTTTTGGAAACTGAATTATCTAAGGATAAATTATTTATTCGTATTTATTTTCGTCCGATGAACGGATCTATCAATTACGCTGAAGAAATTAACGTTGCGAACAAGTAGTGATATTCTCATTAATACCTCGCGTGTTCTTCACTCGAGCCAATAAATTACGCTTCTCTCGTTGCGTCTACGTTATTATCAGCGAATTAAATTCTCCTGTTGCTACAGCGAGTATTCTCCGGAATATGAAATATTTCCCTTCCTGGTAATCCGCTTTCCAAAGTAATCCGTCAAGGGTTCAAGGTAATTAATTATTACATAAACTCGAATGGAATTTTTAAACGATAAGCAAATTCTTCTGTTTTGTTGTATTTCTCAAGAAAGCTTCCAATACTAAGAGATTAATAGCTTCTGATAACATTTACTTTATCTTTATTCAATTAAAATTAAATAGAATTCGATATTTAACCCATCCTATTCTATATAACGTTCAATTCCTGTTCTACGTACTAAAACGTATCGAACAGTTAAAATAAAATTCCTATTGTTTTCAGTCATCCCCGTGCAAAAGTTTTTCCATTACGCTGTTTCTTTGAACAGCTTTTCATAACGTCCACTGTCCCTTTGCTAAATTAATACACGACGTCTACCCTAACACCGTCCCGTTCTACTTGATACTCAATTTCTTCATACTTGGCGTATAATGTTAAACGTTCAAGATAAAATTCGCACTGTAAAAACGTGCAAGTGTAAAAACAGTCCTGCCAGTTTCACCTCTTCCTCAAATTAATCAGAAGCAGAACACTCCATGTCCGACGTAATATCATCTCATTCTACTTAACGCTTAATCCTACGCACAGTATGACACATTTAAAGTAAAATTCATACTGTTCCAAGCACTTTCGCGCGAAACTCTGCTGGCGAGACGTTTCTCTTGGATAATTACGCACCGTTTTCTTGAATAAGAAACTACGGTGGAAATAAAAGAATATAGACAGCTTGGCTCAGCTGAAACTGTCCCTTTGACCACGAAACGTTCGCACAACTCTTCTGCCCAGGATTTATCATTGAGCCAAGGCAAAAGGAGAAAGGGCCAAGGCTTTCGTCAGCGACGCGAGTTGTCCGCGCGAGACTCGCGCGCACGCCCGGAGACGCGGTTTTAATTAAATTTTCACAACCACAGCGCCGCGAGGAATGCTCGGTTTCGCGTAATAACACGTGGGTACTCTGACATCGAACCGATGATCGTGTGTACGAAATAGAATGCAGACGCTGATATTGGAAGCGTTCAGGCTGATATTGTTTCACCTTTGTGCGTTTGGTCGCAGGCCAGAAAGAGAGCATTAACAATACACTCTCGTCTCGTTGCGTCGGTTCGCGACGCTGACACTCTCCGAGAACGCGTGATTAACTTTGCGTTCGTACTTGAAACAGGCACCAGTGTCAGAGTTCATTTTCTTTTGTATCTCTCAGCCCTGTCGCTGGAAATCTCCCTGGACAGACGAAGTTTTTATGAACGTACATGAACAATGTTTCAAATTGAAATTTATTCTGGCGTATTTGGACAGACATTGCATCTAATTCTCCGTTCTTTGTTGAATTTTAGTTCGTTCGATGATGTAATGAAATGTATCAATTTATTCTGAAGAACGTTAACTATTTGTCGAGAGATTACTTAGAAAGTGATTCTCATTGCTTTGCAGCGGCTGCTTCATCTTTCTGAATAGGGAGGCCATTTAGGATACGAGAAGTGAACGACGTGGAACAATATAGTTTCCATCACGTCGTTCTTTTATCCGGGAAGAGAAAGTCTCCTCGATCATTTCCACTGGCATTTTACCATTTCAAACACGACGTTTCGGAAGTTCACTCTTCCACCGTTTAGATCATTATGATGAAATAAAAACTTCCCACTGTGTCGTATTTCTATCAAAGAAATTAAACGGGACACATTCAGTGACACAGCTCAATGACAGATCCAACGAAGTCACGTCCCAAAGATCTGAACACTAAATCCAATACCTGTCCCGTCGAATTTCTCTATTCTCGCCGCTTTAAAATGTCATTTCAAACGTTGACAATCCTCTCGAAGATCAATATCAGCTCTTTTATCCCCCCCCCCCTGTGGCCACGAAAGAAATTCTCCCTTTTCACGGTGGAAAAATTTAGCGGTTCAAGGCGGTCGGGACTTTCCACAATCTCGATGTACGAACGGAGCTTTCTGCGGTTCAATTTTCATCCTTTGACGATAGCCGAAAGGCAAAGAGCATCAAGCATCAGTGGCGGCAGCCACCGAACCCATCCTCTTTGTCTCTCTCTCTCTATTTTCCAACTCGATCCTTTCCGTCCTCCTGCCGTGTCGATTCCTTCTCCGTTCCTTCCTCTCACCCTCTCTTTCTCTCTCTCTCTCTCCCTCTCTCTCTCCCCTATTTCTTCTACGGATCCGTTCGTAGCAGCCAGATCGAGCGGACCGGTTCTTCCAAGCTCACGGACTCTAATCTTCCGGTAGCGTTCGTCCGCTCTGTCGCCTCTCTGTCGACGAGTTTGCGGATACTTTGAAAGAAAATTCGCAGGGACGCGCAATTCCAGATAAAATTGTGCCTTTCACCGGCTGACTCGCGAGAAGAATTCCTTCCGAATTGTATTTCAGCCGGAGCGTGCATTGTCGCGTCGTGCGGCTTCCCTTCCACCCCCTCTGCCTTTTTCTTCGTGTTCGCAACCCGATGAAATTGAATCACAAAGGGGGGAGAAGAACGCTTTCCCTTCGACCAATCATTTTCCAACTTTCCATGCCTCTCTCTCTCTCTCTCTCTCTCTCTCTCTCTCTCTCTCTCTCTCTTCGCTGTCGATCTTGCTTTCCCCTCTGTTTCCGTCCGCTCCTTCTTCGTCACTTAACGCCGTCTGTCTTCAGATTCAAAGGAACTCGAGGGAATGAAAGGGAGGGGTCGCGGTTATTATTTTGAAAATTTGTCGCTCGACGAATTCGAGGCGACGCGAGGCTGGACACATCGGTTAGCCAGGAATTCCACGATGCAACTGACTGCACAAATTATTCACATTCTGCGCAACAAACCGGATGCCGCATGCCGGATGCGCGACCGTTTCCGTCGTTCCGAAACGTAACGAATTTCACGAATAATCAAGACGACTCTATCGTGTTTTGCCTTCTTCTTTCGCGAACGAATCACCGGAACATTCAGTTTTCGCCAAATTATTTCATAAACCTTGTTTCCCTCCTTTCTGTCTTTCTTTCTTTCTTTATAAACAAACCACTGAATGTCGATCGTATTTCCCTTGACGCTGACGAAAGTTTGATTCTTAGTCGATAAACCGTTTCTTTCGTCCCTCTGTAAACAGACGACCCAAATATTCACGCCATTTCCTACGATTGTTACAAATGTTCGACTCTCTGCGAAGCAATTATTCGTCAAACGAATTTTTCCTTCCGTTGTTGTGCTTTCTATTCTTTATTTGTCGCGCGCAAGGATTACTCTGTTAAGATACGTGAACCGAAATTCAACGACACACACACATACACACACATACGTACACGGTCGAGGCTGGAAAACGAGAAAATTCCAGCCTCGAACAGCCAGGGGAATTTTATTTATCCGAATGCCGTGGTCGTTTATCTCCAGTCTCTCGAGCTTCCACGACCGATAGCCGCTGGCCAACTTCCCCCTCCCCCAGAATCCAATTTTTTCTCGCGGACACGCCACGAAGCTGGTTAACGTACTGTCTAAGATGTACGTTCCCAGAATCTAGACGTTGTATTTTATTTGCCCCTAAGCGTTCAAAGATTAGACCAAAAAAAGACAATGCCGCGGTTGCTCGTCGTTCGTTTTTCTTTCTCGAGCGGCGGCGCGATTTCTCTAGCGGAAGACTGCAGATTTTTTCATGCGAACACTCACATCTTTACGAACGCAGAATGACAGAAATTGCAGAGAGATTGGATACAGATAGTTCGTGTATTTTTGCCTCGATGTTTGCCACAGATGCACGAAACGAAATAATCTCTTAATAAATACAAGGTGCAACTATCTGCGTGTATAAGCAGAATTAAAAGAGAAAAAATATACTTTTCAAGGGACAGTTTTTTTTTTTCTATCTCCTCTAATCATTTGGTTGAACCAACAGAGACCAACCGAAAATCAATCAAAAGTCAAATCAAACTGATATGAGTTCGCAGCGAACTAATATCGACTAGCGATAAATTCTTTTCCAATTTTGAATGTGAAACCTACACCTGCGTCCGTTCCAGTGCATCACTCGTGTACAAATATTGAAATAAATGAATTTAAATATTGCTTCAAATTGATTTTGTGTAACTGTCATCGCAATGAAATATTCTACTTTTAAACGCGAGACCGCAATGAAAGTTCCGCAGCGAGAAGAAAGAACTATCATTTTTATGTAAAATGTTCAGAAGAAACTCACCCCGCTTCACGTCTCGCCACGTGTTCGTGATTTCGTCGAGTCTTCCTTGCCCGTTTGGTGTTCACCCATATATTCCTCTCACATCGTTCTGATAGCCGATCGTTCTACGAATCTGAAACGCAGCAGAGCGACACGATTAAAGAGTTCGTTCCGCGTTTCCAATCATTGGATCTCTATTTTATAATTGCGCGCAATTGCGCAATGCAGTTACGTTCAATTGTAATACATTTATAACATATTAGTAGTACGCATTTAGCAGCGTATATTATATCATAATCAATAACTGGAGTATTGAACCGTTATAACGATAGAATAATTTGTTGCAAAGTTAAACGGAGTCACTGATAGTTTTCTTTTACATTCACTGTCCGCCAGATCCCAGGCAAATACTTTTCCACGTTTATTCTGTTCCTCGATTACTCTATTCCCAAACCTCGAATATCCATTCTACCTTCCCAGACATTTTCTGCTCTTATTCTACTATCCAACTTCGAAGAGTTTCTTTTTAAGTGTCTGTCTCCAAATTCCTAGTACCTTCAGGGAATCATTGTCTGTCTTTATTCTACTACCAAAATTTCTTTCCTATTTCTCGATTCTTTCTAATAGTTTTCACAAAGTTCGAAAAATTCACCATTCTTCTGTTTCATAATTTCACAAGACTAGAAATTTTAGAAATTTTCTTTCGCAGCACGTTTAAAGAAACTTTTGTCTCTCGGAAGTCGTCGTACGAACTTACGGATTTCCAACGGCGTCCAAGATATATTTAAAACTTTTCCTTCGCCCCCTCCCCCCTCCCGATCAAAGATACGGTCATTAGGTTGGACACAGAGCACACATGCGACAAATGCATAATGCCGTCCCGAGGCTGCAGGCTGTGTGTGCACGTGCGCTAGCGCGGATGCATGTGGCGAGACGTATGCACCGCAGACCACGCAAGAGCAAATAAGAGAGGCGAGCGTGTGCGGCTTATGCAAAATGTCGGCCTCGAACTACGAAATCGTAAAGCCCTCGTATCCCGTAATTTTTGCTCGTCGGTTCGTGTCCCAGCTCGCGTTCAGCTGTACTCTACTCGCAATTAATACGCGGTCGTCCTAACGCATCAATTCGAACAAAATACGAAAATGTTTACCGACGAACGAAACGCACAAACCGCAGAGACATACGTTCATATTTTTCGTTATTTTATTTCGTTTATTTCCTTCCAGCCCCACCATTGATTCCGGTTACCTTTGTTCCTGAAAATTTAATACCATCGTATTTGCCGTCTGAAAACGATAAATCGACGCAAATATTGGACTTTACAACGCAAACTGCGGCTTTTTTTTATTATCGATTTTTATATTATCCTATCTGTTGCGCAGGTCTTTTTTCCTTTCCCGTGCTTGACGCACGCCGCGTTTTGCAACAAATGCGCGAAACGCCGAGCTTTCAACCAACGTTCAACGAATCCTAAAAAGCGTTCGTGCATATTAACATCGGAATGCAAAATCGAACGGGAACGAAAGGAATTCTCAGCTTCAGGATGACACGGAAATGACAAGGGAAGTTTGAAACATTCCTGGAGCAGAGAATTTTATAAACAAACACAATTAGAGAAATTTCTACATACATTCAGGCCGTAAAACATGTTTTTCGAAACTGAACAGCGGAAAAATTCTGTTTCGAATCTCGAAACTATGGATACCGTGAACGTAATTACATGTTTGACAAACTTTTGGAAGACCAAACTTGAGGCTCTCGTTCACTGATAAGTCCAGCATTAGGTCTCGAATCGAGTTTTCAATCCAGAATCAAGTTTTGAGTCCCGAGTCTAGCATCGAATCTTGAACGAGTTTCAAGTTTCGAAATTACGGGTATCTGAATAGGTATCTATGTGTCCAGCAAACTTTCGGGAACTCGATTGACCCGACTCGATCGTTGTTTGACCCAACTCTGTCTCCAATTTCTAAAATTTCGGGATTTTTTCGACGCACGCCCAATATTTTTCCACAATGTCACAAAGATTCTGATAACACGATCCTTCGAGCTAATTCTTATCGCCTAATTAACGTTTCGTCGAATGTAACGGGTGTAACATAATTCGTGACGAGGAATCTTTCATTTCTAAACGTTCGTTCCCCGGTTCCCGGAACGAACCTTTCCTAATCTCCGCTTCTTCACCTCGTTCAACCGTGTTTTGCCTCGATTCTTGCACTATTCACTTAAATCTTCTTCGTTCCACTCGAAACTTTAATCATTAGCAAAACCATTGGACGAAATTCACCCTCCGTTGCATGTACATTCCGGCGCTCAAGTTCAGAACGTTCTACTTTCGACGAAACAACATTACAAGAGATATATATATATATAGATATATGTGTGTTGGATGTTCGTGCGGATTTGTAGGAAATTTCTGGGAGCAAAAATTTACAGAATGCAAGTACACCAACAAAATTATGCAAGTCCGAAATAAGCTACGCGTTAAAATATTATTTGCTCGGTGAAACAAATTTCTATTCATTATTAACCCTTTGCCTTCGACAAACTCTTTTTCTCATCTACCATCAATTTATTTACGTAGCGTCAGATCAAATAAACTGATATACCATTGGAAATAATTCGATTTGGTATTTAACACGAAATTTCGTTTACATCTTCCCAACATCATTTGAATTCAAAGCAACCATCAACGTGCATTTCGGATTTGCTAGAATAAATATAATATACAAGAGCTAATAATACATAATTTTAATCTCTGGAAAAATCCTCCACTTGACTCAGAAATTTCTTCTTCTGAAATTTGGAATGTTCTTCTGAATTTCTTTTCTTCTTATTATTATTATTGTTATTACAAGTACTTTCACTGTAGACGTCTGTTCAGTTATTACACTATTATACAACACTAAATGTATGCGTTCATTATATTAATTATCAACAAATTATAAAATGAGCAAGTCGGGCTAGATACGGATAGTCGAATGCATAAGGTTAATTATTTCTATTTAATCGTCTGTTGCTTCTTTAATTACATTCCGAAAAATATGATAAATATCTAGTCTAATAGCCTCTCTACATAAATAATAATATTCCTAGATTCTTAGAAAACTGTGAAAATTGTTCTCGACGGAGGAAATATACAACGCTTTCGAGACCTTCCAACATTCTAAACGCAGAGTCCATCCCGGATTGTGCAGCAGCAGAGGCAGCTGGAAAACTCGAAACTGGAAAACTCGTTTCGCCCCGGGAGAAACGAATTTAGCAGAAAATCCTACGAAGGGGAATAATTAATGGGACAATTTCGTTTCGTTATCGTTAGCTGTCGGTTACAATAGCTCCGGGGCTTGTCGGAGCTGCGCTCGAGGAGACAGGCTCCAGGTGCTGTTCTCGCCGGATAATGGCGTAACTATCTGCAGATCCGCTAATTCGGGATAGAAATTCGCGTACCAGAGAGGACAGAGAGAGAGAGAGAGAGAGAATGCGCGAGAAAATCCTGACGGGAGTTTCAGTTGTCGCTCGAGTGGTCATCGGTCGCTCGCGGTCGGTCGGAACGGCGCCAGTAAACTGGTAATTGGTGTCTGAAAGCTGTTTTCACCCGGAAACCAATAGTCCCCTGGCTCTTCGACGAAAGTTTCGCAAGCCACTGGCAGGCGGAGTTCCTACTGACTGTCCAGCACCGGACACTCTGTCGAACCTAACTCTGGTGTGTAACCAATCGTCGGAAAACCGTGCCACGGGGAGTGGGGGGGGGGGGGAAGAAAAATTGCGGCCAGCGAAGCGCGAAAACTGCAAGCAAGAACACATGGAAAAGTTCCATGCCGGCGGTCGGTGCTTGGCCAGCGTGAAACCGCACCACTCTCCCGATCGCCAATATCACGCGAGCAGATGGAAAACGAGAAATACGCTCTCGCTCCTCCGATCGAACCTCCGAGAAAATATTGCGGCCTCCGCGCCAGAAATTCAACGGAGATCAGCTTCCTTCCGATTAATAATCGCGGCGCGGCCGTGTCTCGAGCGTTACGTAATATTAATTAGAATATAGATCTGCTTTCTGCCTGTCGATCAAACAAAAGGGATCCGACGACCGAAGTTATTAATGAAATTGAAGTTTCGAGCGAATTGTATTGAAATTCCTCTGGAAATAAATTTAGTTGGGAAAGAGTTCGGCTCTTCTCGTTTCTTCTCTTCTCTTCTCTTTGTAAGCCGCGAATGATTGAACGGTTGGGGGTCTTTCTTTTTTTTTTCTTCTTCTTCTTCTTTTTCTCTTTTTGCGATATATTCTCATTATGATGATTGGAGAGGTTCGTCTCGTTTCTCGATCCATTTGATAAGACCACGTGAAATTCTCATCGATGGAGGGAAGGAGGAAGTATCGAGCGAACGAAGTACCGGGGGACAGCGGAGGAGAGCCAACGGGCTAAAATCCGCCCGCTGAAAAATGCTTCTCCGGGCGCGAAAGCGAACGGGGTCGCCGTTATTTCCGATATCACGCAGACGATGATACTTTCGTGTGCCTACTATATTGGAGTTATTGGCCTGCGGTTTTCGGGTTATCTGCAGGTTGTGTGAACTTTCCAACGCTATACACTCTGTGTTTTTTTTCTTTCTTTCTTTCTCTTTTTTTTTACTCTGACCGACATTATTTAAAAACGAGAAACAAGAAAAGATCGAAGACCTAGATTAATATGTGCCCCCTAGATTAATATGTACTCGGACACTCGCGTAAGAACGTTGAATTTCGCACTGACGCTCGCGATAAATATCTTTCAACATCCGCGTATAGACTCAATTTATAACCGCAAATACAGCCTCAAAATTATTAACTGTCACATGTAGTGGATTATAGAGTGGCAATGAAATTTCAAAATGTCACGTGCTAAATACATCCCTGAATTTATTATTATGATCGAAGGAATATTGCAACGATAATATAATAATTAGACTGCAGATTTTTATGCATTACGGTGGGAACTGTTGAAATTGTGAAATTGCACATGCGATACGAAAAGAAGTATGAAAATTCCTCTTTACACTCTCAAAATTATGAACTCGCGTAAATGTCCGTAACTCTGGCGTTAATGATATTCCGTTTCCAAATAATTTCTCGAAACGAGAAACGTCGTGAAGGACAAGGGA